ATATTACATAAAGAGGGTGACCCAATATTACATAAAGAGGGTGACCCAATATTACATAAAGAGGGTGACCCAACATTACATAAAGAGGGTGACCCAACATTACATAAAGAGGGTGACCCAACATTACATAAAGAGGGTGACCCAACATTACATAAAGAGGGTGACCCAACATTACATAAAGAGGGTGACCCAATATCACATACAAAAGCTGACCAACGTCACATTCCACAACCTTTTTACTGCACCTTACTAAACTTATAATTTCAAACCAAGAAGATAAGTTGGGTATGTTTTTACCCTAAGTTAGAATCACCATCATCAACTCAATTAACAATAAACAAAAAAATGTGATCAGGTACTTCTATGAAGCGCCGGGCACAGAAGTGTTGAGCTAAGAGGTAGGGCATAGAGGCCTCAGGTGTGGAGAAGTCCCAAACATGGGTTGCTATTAAAACACTGCTGTTCTCCCCATCTAAAGCTTGGTGGAATGCAGGCTCCTGTCTTCCAGGCTGTTGGAAAAATAAATAAATATAACATAAACTTTTTATGAAGCCCATCTTCTTCTGCTTCTAACCCCCCACGCCCTTCTCCAAAACGGAGCATAGCCATCACTCGATCTAACTCTGGAGTGGGAAACATTTCCAGAGGCTACATCTGTTTGTTGTTGTTGTTATCGATCCAGCGGCGCATGAGCTTTCGCCCTTTGGCCCAATGCCATGTAGTGGAATTTGCATGTTTTCACAAGCTGTTCTTTTCCTCCGTACAAGGTGTTCCACTTGTCTGGTCTCGGAGGGAGTAGCATTCTTCTAGTCTCGCTGAGTTTCTACATCTTTTTAAGTGTATATGTTGTGGCACTCAACCTGCTCAAGCCAAGTTGTTCTATCAAAGCCTATCTACCTGTTTATGATTATGTTTATTCGACGGATCATAACTATTGCATAGGGGTATAGCCCATTTGTGCCCTGTTCTACTTCTAGCTCAAACCTGAGTCCGAAGAATCTCAGCGCAGTGCACGAACTCCGTTGCACTGGCAAAGGTCATGAAAAACTTTAGGTAGATTTTTAATTCTAAATTAGTTAGGCTACTCTTTGCGATGTCCAACTGTCAAGGGATTTTTTTACATGCGCAAGAATACACACCGGCATCCAATTTTAGTATAAACAGACCAGGGGAAATTACTAGACGTCCACGTGAAAAATGCCAGCCTTCACCTGGGCCTGAACCCGGGACTCTGAGCACTTAAGGCAGACACCATACCTTAAGACCACTCAGCCCCCCCCCCCTTCCCAGCCTATCCACTTATCATCTCTCTATTTATCTGAGAGAGCCTGAGTGGTGCGTGTACATCCATTTCACAGATCCAACTCATTTGTATGCTGACTGCTGGTTCCTTGCCTCTCAGGCAGGTACATTCCTACCTCGAAAGAAGCTCTCAATTAGTCGACTCTTACAACATGCTTCTGGGTAGGCAGTGGGTCTATTTTTGGTTTCCCACAAGGGGTCCCCAGAACCCACATGGAGAAGTTAGGTTGTGATATCTGTTCCTTTCAGCCCAACACATGTGATCTGAGAAAATTCTTAGTAAGCTGCCCTCTATGAAAGGCTTATTAAGGTGCAGTCCCCTGTGTGGCTTCCCACATCATGGAGGAAAACAAGGACAGATGCACTGCTTACCTAGAAGCATGTCCTAGGAGTCTACTAATTGGGGTAGGAGGTTGGCTTCCTTTCGAAGATGAAGTGCATCTGCCTGAGAGACAAGGAACCAACAGGCTGCATACAAATAAGTCAGCTCTGTAAAAAAAAGCAGTGCATGCAAAACTCAAGTTCTGGAATAAGACCAAAGTTCAGAAGTGGACGAACAACCACAACTTTCTGCTGGAGTTTACGGCCGGTGAACGTGAAGAAGAAGAAGTAAGGCCAGGTGTTTCAATTCTAATTTTCCCCAAAAGGGCCCCAGAACCCATGGTTGGGGGAGAGAACATACATCCTTCAGTTACCTCTGTGAGAGAGCCCTCAAGCTGGCACAGAACCTTAAACTCTCAAAAAGTGTGAAGTCCATGCGGGACAGCATCTTGTAGACTGGACCCACACTTTTGTTGAAGTGCTGCATCAGTGTGGACATTCTCTGACCATTGAAATCAGCAAACCTGAGGACAGCGAGCAAACATTCATTGTAGCACAGACCACTCTTCATGTCTGTGTTGTGGGGGTTATAAACACATTTCATAATACTGGAATGCGTCAGAAGATAGCAACAAGCTGTATGCGCTCTGAATTAGTAGAAAGCATTCGAAAAATCGCACTTAACCTCCTTCACCTGGATCTACACACCTGGTCATGTAGTGTAAAGGGTAATGAGTGAGCGGAACAACATGTCTGGGAAGAAGCACGGACAGAGCAGATATTATCAACGCTGTACAGACTGGACAGTGGATAATGACGAATCTGACACTAACACGATTGCGTGATATGGGAGTAAAGCGTGGTGAAGCACCTCTATGCCGCCTTCGAGGCTGAGATAGGAGACATTATAACCAACCTCTCACGGAAACAATTAGCAGAAATCTTCTTCTCTTCTTGGCATTCACCAGCTGTAAACTCTGGCAGAAAGTTCTGGTTGTGCATCCACTTCTGGAACCTGAGTGTTGCGTGTGCACCCATTTTACAGATCTGACTCATTTGCATGCAGACTGCTGGTTCATTGCCTCTTGGGCGGTTGCACTCTGACTTCGAAGAAAGCTTCCAATTAGTCAACTCTTACGACATGTTTTGGGTAGGCAGTGGGTCGATTCTTGTTTTCCCTATAATAGGGCCCCGGAAGCCACACAGGGAATTGGCAGAAGTATCTTGGAGTGGCTGCTGCATCAGAGGACTGAGCACGCATGGGAATGCCCAATGTCAGTGACATTGATTGGGATAACATAACAACATAACTGGCATACCTGAGTTCAAAGTCAGCTGAATCTATTGTCAGCAGACCAATCTGTCTTCATTTGAGTCTAGTCGAGTTGATTCAAGAACTGATATCCTAGCACTCGGGGCATTGCTTTAAGTGCTACGTCCCCATCTTCAGCAGCCAGCACAGAGTTCCAATACCAATGGTTCTAACAGCATTCTTATTATACGTCCGTCTTGCCTTTCCTCCACCATAGGAATTCGAACTCTTCGCTTGCTGCTGAAGATGGGGACTGAGCACTTATGGGAGTGTCCCAAGCGGTGTGATGTTGATTCTTAATTGGACATTCAACCTTTCCTCTGACTGTCGAGTATGGCCAGATCCCCTTGTCACTCCTCGCTGCATCACTCTCACCAGAATGTGGTGGTCCATTTGCTCCTCCGAATTGTACTGGCTCTCCGACAAGACTCTAGCCATGTCTGCCTTATCATGCACCAATATTCCACCAAGTTGTGCACCAAGTTTGTTTTGATTTCAACAATGGCACCTTTAACTTCATGCTCATGGGTATAAACTCTAATAGAAAGTTCTGGTCGTTCGTCTTGGCTGCAACTTTGTCTTTAAAATACATTTTCTAGATTTCTATCTGGATTTCTTTATAAAAGACTGAGGAGCTGTCAGTGACTATGGTGAACAATTACATTAGGATACTGCTGCTATGAAGACAAGGTATCAACGCCTGTCAATACTTGCTAATTACTGTTGGACTGTGACAAGAGATACCTCATTGATTTATTTCAAGAAGCAAGCAAGAAGAGCTTGAAAAGCAACTGAATAATGATAAAATGTTAAGTAAAAAAAAAAAATTTGTAAAGATTCCTTTTTAGACCTTAGGCGCATTGGGCCTTAAAAAAAACACTCATTTTTTTACAGACCAATCAGCATTAGGTGGGTAATGTGGTCAGCATTACACCGGCCGTCTTTACTTTCCCAGGACATATATCCTTGTACATATTTAAGGCCGGGTGGACCTGCGATGCCCAATACCATGATAAAAACCCACGGAGATGCAGACATGTGCCTTTTTAAGATATTATATGTCAACAATTAAATAATGTTTACACAGTTTTCCGTAATGTTATGTTGAAATATCAATTACTGCGTATGCTACCACGACCAAGTGGACTCCTTGCCATGTACATTTAAGATTATTTCAAATCACCATCATCATGTGCCCTGCTAGCGTCGGCGTTCACACATCTCAACAGATCTTGATCCCTGGTACTCTGGATCGGTTCCACCTATGATATTCTTCCGTACCACCCGTGCAACCCACCCGGCATCACATCTCTCAGTTTGCTCCACCTTCTGCCGTTAATCTTCCCAGTAAAAACACTCTCTACAGCTTCCCCCTCATCAAATCTCTCAGTTTGCCCCACCTTCTGCCATTGATCTTCCCAGTAACAACATTCTCTACAGCTTCCCTCTCATCAAATCTCTCAGTTTGCTCCATCTTCTGCCGCTGATCTTCCCAGTAACAACATTCTCTACAGCTTCCCCCTCATCACATGACTACATATATTACTATTTATATTTGCCACATAACAATAACAATAATAATAAAGAGAGCTGCTATAGTGTAGCAGCTAGTGGGTCGCCTGTAGATCAGAAGGTCATCGGTTCGGATCCTGATGGAAAGGGACCTTTTTTCAAAAATGACTTTGGTCGGTCCGACATTAAATGAGTACCAGGTATAGTTCTGGAAAGTAAGGGCAGCTGGCGTGAGGCTGACCACATCACCCAACAGGTGCCGATTAGTCTATAAAATATAGGTCTATCCCTATATGCCCAATAAAGCTGAAGGCCTGGGAAAGGGACCTTTAGTTTTACTGACTTAATTTTAATAATGAAAATAATACATTAATATTACTACACACTTAAACAAGGTTAAAGGGTACGGCGTACCCCCCTTCCCGGGCCTCACCTCTAGAAATTATAAAGACATCCCCCCCCTCCTTTCTCGCAGCAGTGTTCCTTGCAGTAGGATGTCTAGAATGAAGCTTAGTCCATCAGAAACAATTTTTTGTAACAAATTGACAGGGACTTACTCTTGAAGCATTCTAGACAGTCCGAGGGCTGTCAGCCATGCTGAGACATTCTGGTGCGTCCATTGACTGAGGGGAATTCTGGCTGCAGACACTCCAACCTCTGCACCATTCTGCGCTAGAGGAGAGTCTGTACCTGTCAAAGACATGAGGACAATTATTGAGTAAACTGGGCCTATATGAACTCTTCATGTGTGGCTAAACAGAAAACTTCAAACCCACCTCTGGGCTTCCACGGGGACAATTATTGAGTAAACTGGGCCTATATGAGCTCTTCATGTGTGGCTAAACAGAAAACTTCAAACCCACCTTTGGGCTTACACGAGGACAATTATTGAGTAAACTGGGCCTATATGAACTCTTCATGTGTGGCTAAACAGAAAACTTCAAACCCACCTTTGGGCTTACACGAGGACAATTATTGAGTAAACTGGGCCTATATGAACTCTTCATGTGTGGCTAAACAGAAAACTTCAAACCCACCTTTGGGCTTACACGAGGACAATTACTGAGTAAACTGGGCCTATATGAACTCTTCATGTGTGGCTAAATGTCAGAAAGAGGGTGCTAAAATGTTACACAGAACTTGTTCTGCTGTATGGGAGCGAATCTTGGAATGTCACTGAACAAATTAAGAAGAATTTGGAAGTAACAGATATGTGATTTCTAAGACGAATGTTACGAATACCTTGGACGGCCAGAGTAACTAACAACGATTGCTTGAAAGAGGCTAATGAAAGTAGATCTCTATATACAACAATAAGAAAGAGACAAACACTGTTCTTTGGCCACATAATAGGACGAAAGACTTGGAGAACATTGTGACAACTGGAAAGATCAGTGGGAAAAGGAGTAGAGGCAGACCAAGAGAGATGATGCTGGATGGGCTGAAACGATGGCATGGAGAGATATCATCAAGAGAGCTGTTCAGGCAACCAGGGATCATGATCGGTGGAGACGCATAAGCGTCTATGCCAGTTGGCTGGGTACATGATAATGATGAAATAAAAACTAAAGACCCACCTTTGGGCTTGTAACGTTCAGATAACCTCTAAAAAGTAACTTTTTTTTGTTCGCATTCTGACAGAAAGTTCTGGGTGTTCTACTTCTGGACTTTAGTCTTGTGCCAGAACTGGAGTTTTGCATGCACATCCATTTTACAGATCTGCTTATTTGCATGCAGACTGTTGGTTCCTCACTTTTCAGGCAGATGCACTTTGACTTCACAAAAAGAACACAACTAGTCAACTTTAACGACATGTTTTGTTAGTGCCCCCCCCCCCCCCCCCCCCCCCCCCCCGGCCTATTAAAGTCTGACACAGATCACTAAAATCTGACACAGGGTCATTAAAGTCTTACACGGCGTTATTAAAGTCTGGCACGGGGTCATTAAAGTCTGGCACCGGGTCATTAAAGTCTGGCACGGGGTCATTAAAGTCTGGCACGGGGTCATTAAAGTCTGGCACGGGGTCATTAAAGTCTGGCACAGGGTCATTAAAGTCTGGCACAGGGTCAATAAAGTCTGACACAGGGTCATTAAAGTCTGGCACAGGGTAAATAAAGTCTGACACAGGGTCATTAAAGTCTGATGCCAGAGCATTAGTTTGATGTTGGGGCATTAAATTAAAGTCTGATGCCAAAAAATTAAAAATTAAAGATGATATTGAAGATGAAAGTGAGAATTAAAAATGTTGAAAAACTTACCCCCCAACACCTTCAACGGATGCCATCTACTAGACTTGGGCTTCCGGCCTCTTTTCTTAGGAGTCTGTATTGAATTTAAGAAAATTATTAGCGCAAGTACCTTCTTTATGATTACGTACTGGCACCTTTCCGTCTTTCCCGACGATAGTCTTATATTGCGCTATGAGAAGGCATGAGACTCACAGCCCATGGCGATGGCGAGTGTGACTAGCCAGACCCACCCGTGTCAAGAAAAGTCTTCCACAATGATAGCATGGGATTTCAGGACCATTGTTGTCAACATTTGTGTTTAATCCGTTTCTTTTCAGATGCTCAGCTCTCATCCTTTCCGCAATCATTTCTTCCTTCACTCGTATTTCCTTCCTGATATGCCCTTTCCACACAACACAGTCCATGGCATTTTGTTTCCATGAGTCCACCCTTATACCTGTATCATTCATGTCCCACTTACACACATCTTTACATCGTTGTAGAGGTCGGCCTCGACATCTTCTTCCTGTCTTTAATTCACCATAAAGGATGTCCTTAGGGACTCTGCCATCCTCCATTCTCTAGGTGTGACCCAGCCGCCTGAGCCTTTGTAGACTGAGCATAGAAAAGACTGTTGTAGCACCTGCTCTTTCCAATACCTCAGTGTTTATGAAGTCCCTTCTTACGTCTTCTTTATCATCAACAGCATTTCAACTTCTGATGCCCCATAGGCCCTCAATAATCTCATGCCAAGTTTTGGTAGACGTGTTCATGACTCTGCCATCCTCACAGCCAGACATCGATCTTTGAGTATCTGTTCTCTGCATGCACATACATGTTACAGATCTGGCTTTTAGGTATGCAGACAGTTGGTTCCTTGCCTCTCAAGCAGATGCACTCCAACTTTGAAGGAAACACCTCCAATTAGTCGCCTCCAATGGAAAGGGGAGTCTACTATTCTTCATTCTCTAAAGGAGCCCCCGGGACCCACACTGCGAGGCTGTTCATCCATTTTGCCCTTTAGTCCTGTTCATCAACTTGAACTTTGTGTGCACATCCATTTTACACATCTGGCTTATTTGTATAAAACTGTTGGTTTCTCACCTCTCAGGCAGGTGCACTCCAACTTTGATGTTAAAAAAAACACCACCAGTGTGAACAAGGAACCAAGGCAGGAACCAAATGTGCTACAAAAGGCTGATATAGATAGTTTAGTTTTTTTTTTTTAAAGAACTGAACAAACGTACCTGTGTGGGTATGGATCCCAGGGCACCAGAGAGCTGCATCTGGTCATTAAACGTAAATCCCATATCGTGCAGATGGCCGGAGGCACTTTCTATATCTTCGTTGAAATAACGTGCAAGTTCTATTAGGCATGGGCCATCAATGCAGGAAAAGCTGGAGAATTGGACAATAAAATGTTTTAATGGTTTGGTAGAACAAACAGTTAACTCTTTTAGTACCAGTCAGTCTTCTTTTTCTCTGCATCCACTGGCTGTAAACCCCAATGGAAAGTTCTGGTTCCCCATCCACTTCTGGACTTTAGTCCTGTCCCAGAACTTGAGTTTTAAGTGCACATGCTTTTTTACAGATCTCGCTTTTCTGTAGGCAGAATGTTGGTTCCTTGCCTCTCAGGCAGACGCACTCAGACATCAAAGAAAACCACTAATCAGTCAACTCTTACAGCATAGTTTGGGGTCGCCGTGGCGATGGCAGCCAGATGCCTGCCTGCGAATCGGAAGGTCATGTGTTCAGGTTCTGATGGAGCCTGACTTTGTTTTTAAATGACCTTGGCTCTCAGGTCGACCCGGCCTTGAGTGGGTACCAGTTTCAGTCCTGGGAAGTGAAGTGAAGGCGGCCGGAGAGATACTTACCCCATCACCCACCAAGCGCTGATTGGTCTATTAAAAATGTAGGTCTAGCCCTATATGCCCAATACGCCTAAAGCATGGAAAAGGGTCCTTTGCTTTATTTAACTCACGCCATATTTGTTGTTGGGGGAGCAGTAAGTTTATTCTTATTTTCACCCACAATGGGGTCCAGAAACGTATATAGGGGAACCAGCAGCTAGTAATTACTGTAGCTCTTTGTATCCCGAAATTAAACTTTAAATCAGCCACTATTTTTGCGTTTAAAACAACTAAAATAATGAAAATATCTGAAGCCCCAAATCACTATAATCATCCTTTGAGTGTCGATGGATGCTAAAAAAAAAAAGGACTGGCATTCAATTCCTCCACCTGCTCTATGGCACGTAACTCTCAATTTCTGATATGGAGTTCAGCCCACTGTTTTAGCCTCTTGTAATGTTTATCTTCATGTTTTCCTTGGAGGTTATCTTTTTTCTCAAACTATCTGTTTCCCATTTCAGTGTTTGTTTTGTCATTCTTTGCACATTTCGAGTGTGCCCAATATATCTCCCCCTTCTTTGTCTTATTGCAGTCAATATGGGTATTTGTCTAGATATTTCTCTAACCTCCTCACTCTTTCAGAATTCATCCCACAAACACCAGCAATCTAATTAGCAAATAAACGATCTTAAATTAGGTGTCACCTCAAAACCTGATGCTGAAAAGCAGAACAGAACTAGAGAAGAAGAAGAAAAAGAAGAAGAAATAATAAAATCAAGAATGAGAAAGACCAAAACTAAAAGTTAGTTGCGTATAATCTCCTCCTGTTACTGTGGTATTTGTCAAAGAAGGCTGCAGCAAAAACGCACCACTGCTCCTGTGTGTTTTTCCTTCTCACTTTCGTTAAGCTTTCCAGTTCACCAGATAAATTTCTTGATCCTAGTCTGACTGGAGTCACCTTCTTGTTTTCATTACAGTAATAAGAACTTAGAACAAAGGTAGCGACAGTACCAGGCTTCCGCTGGCTTGAGAATCAACTGTACGCACGTGTCATAATCATAACTGACTTAGAGTCCATACTGAGAACGGTGGAGAAAGACATGAATGTGCTGAGTGGCAAGCATCACTTCCGAGGTCCCGGGTAGTTAGCGCCCTTTGGATATTTTCTCAAAGTAGGACAGCGTGTTGGGAAACGAGCAGGCAGATAAAACTGGCCAGTTGCTGCAGCACTTGGTGGTGAACTGATGTATGATAAGCTAGATATGAGGGCTCTTTAGGAGCCAGTGAATAGTGAGGAGGCACAAGCAAATCATTATGGTCTGAGGAGAATGGCGCTGCGAGGAGTAACTAGGGGATCTGGCAATACTCAACACTCACGGGGAAAGGGAGATGGATACACAATCAGAGAGTTATTAGTGCTACCGGAACTGGAACTCTTGGCTTGCTGCTGAAGATAGCGATGAAGTGTTTATGGGAGTGTTCAGAGTGCTATGATTTTGACTTATAATTCAACTTTAGTGCAGATAAATGATTTTACAAAGTACCAAAGAACCAAATGATTTGGTTATCGAGTCAGAATGGAACAAAATCAGCCAAGATCTAGAATGTACAAAATCACCCAGTAGCTAGAATGTATACTACAGGAGAACAGCAGGATACAAAGTTGACCAAGAAAGAGATGGGTGGAGGAAGTAACAGAAACACAATATGACATTAACACAAGCTACACAACTAACAATACACAGGAAACTACATCCAACGTCTCCCTGTGACACTCTACTAAAGAGGAGGAAGATGCCATTCTGCAGAGAGAAACCAAGCTGTACAGAATAACTAGTGGTGCAAGGAAGCCGATCCTTTCAACTTTAACCCTTCCATTACTATTCCTTTTAATTCACATTTATATGGCCAAAGTAATTTATAGAACAAAAATATCTGCTCTCTTCTGGGAGGCCAATTACTGCCTTTGTGATACCACTTTTACGGTGTAGGCGGGGGAGGGGTTTGAGCCTGAGGATTTACCGCTGCATGGCTAGTGCTGTCGCCACGACTGTGCAAGTGAGGATTTCATTTAGACCCCGACAGAAAAATTCCCCAGGCGTACCTAAATTTCGAACCTGGGTCTCCTGCGTGAGAGCCCTGCGTTCTAACCGTACGGCCAGCCACTCCTCAAATATCTGCACCAAAATGAATAAATATGGCTACTAAATATTTCATTCACCTTGGAACGAGCTTGTTTAACCCCTGCTCAGCCAACCACGCTGTAGTATCCATACATGTCCAGTGGATCACTTTATCTCCTGTTGTAGATCCCATCTGTTCTGTTCCTAAGGAGAGTTAGGTGAAAATGATTCATACATTAACTGCAACTATTTCGATACCAAGAAACGTATCACACATGAATTTATAATTAATTTATTTAGGCTCTTCTACTAAAGGAGTTACTGTCCAACACAGTTTTATCTAAGTAAATTGTTCAAGTTGTGTCCCTTGCCATAACTCTACACCCTTCCCTCCTTCTTCTTCTTAGCTGACACTCATCTGCCCTGGAGTGAAGAGGTTTGCTGGAGAGATCAACAGACTTCTCTATCAGCAGTTTGTTTTCTTTGCTTTTGTTTTTTGATTGTCTGATGTTGTCTTCCCTGTGAAGCCCAGGTCTTCCTGAAGGTATGGTTTCTGTGCTGTTTTTTGATTGTGGGATGTTGTCTTCCCTGTGAAGCCCAGGTCTTCCTGAAGGTATGGTTTCTGTGCTGTTTTTTTGATTGTCTGATGTTGTCTTCCCTGTGAAGCCCAGGTCTTCCTGAAGGTATGGTTTCTGTGCTGTTTTTTGATTGTCTGATGTTGTCTTCCCTGTGAACCCCAGGTCTTCCTGAAGGTATGGTTACTGGTTCTTAGCCTATAACCTCCAATGGCCGCCATGGTGGCGGAATCTCTTCCATTTTGCATACATGTCCAAACCATCACAACTGTGACAGATCCACCCGAATACGGTCTGGGTTTCAAGATCATGAATTCCACACACTTCCTACCTCTACCACCTCTCTGGGTAACTTCCTGTCTATTATTTTACTCCTGCAACCTCATGTGAGGCAAAGACTCTACTGTAGTAGTAGTAGTCGAGGTTTCTTCACTACAATTGGGTCACACCATACATACTCCATTACTGTGCCAGCTCCATTACTGTGCCAGTGACAATCAAACAGAATGTCCTTCCCTGTCCCAACTGAAACACTGGTAATTAGTCCCGGATCAGCCTGTAGCAGATCCTTTGCAGAACGTCACTCTCATCATGGTCTGCCTAAAAGCAACTCGGTCTCTCGCCAGCTCTCCTGCCTCGTGTACTTTCATAATCAAGGAGTCACTTATATCCTGTGCCCATCTTCGTGTTGGTCGGCCCCTGCCCCTCCTTTCTGGTATCATGCCTTCTGCTATTTTGTTCAATCTGCCATTGCACTTAATATGACCAACATATTTCAGCTTCCGAGACAAGATGCTGTTTATTAGCCAATCTATCTTGGTGTTCTGATCTTTAAAAATGTCAGTATTTCTCTTCTTTGTCCATTATATTTTGAGAACCTTTCTATAGCATTTCAGCTCAAACGCCCCTATTTTCTTTCTTAAGGACTGGGAGATAGTCCACGACTCACATGCGTATGTTGCTACAGGAAAGATGCATGCTCTCAAAACTTTAATTTTGATTTCCTTGCTTAACCGTAGTAATCTTTGCATTGCCATGGCCATCCTTCTTTTGATTTCTGTCAAAATGTCTCCATTGATATTTATTATAGAGCCTAGATTTTCAAAGTCTGTGACATTTTTAATGTTTTCATCCTGGGGGGGGGGAGGGGGGGGGAGGAGGGGGGAGCTCCTGCGGACATTAGTCCTGGCACAATCCAGAAATATGCGCACACAGTAAATGCATAAGGCAGTTGCTAGAGGTGCCAAAGCCAACAGTCATCACCAGAAATGCAGTCTGTTGTTGATGGAGGTAGTTGGTCATGGCCACACAAATGCAGAATTACTACATCAGGTATTTAACCAGCTCAAAAGTAAACTGGCGACCCATCATATTAAATTCCACCAGGAAAACACTGCACAAATGAATAGCATCCCACATGAAAAAAAAAAAGCTCACAGTTCTGCACCAAGCAGCTTAGGCAGTGAAACCGTAGATTTCTGTCCATTTGTGCAAACTGCATTAGCAAAGCTTAACATTCTCTTAAGTCTAATGTCCATACTGGGTTGTAAATCGGGTCAAGTGCCTATTGTTCAAGCATGGATGGAGATGTTATGCCAGGCCTCACAGTAAAGCTAAGCAATTTCATTTATTCTTGTTTGAAACTGTCCACTAGTCATGTGTTGTTGAAGGCCTCCTAGCCATAATGTTCATTTTGTCGTCTTTGATTGTGGTAGAATGTTGAATTCAGAATAAACGTCACAGCACTAGGGACACTCCCATAAGCGCTCAGTCCTCACCTTCATCAGCAAGCAAAGAGTTCCAATTCTGAGTACCAGTAACTGTCTGAATGTGCAACCGCCTTGCCTTTTCTTTAAGTGTTGAGCGTCGGCCAGATCCCCTGGTAACTCCCCGCAGCACCACTTTCCTAAGACCGTAATGATCTATGTGTGCCTCTATACTGTTCACCCGCTCCCAAAGGGGCTTCACAACATCTAGCTTGTCATACACCGATTCACCACCAAGTGGTGCAGAACCGTCCAGTCTATCTGCCTGCTCATTTCCCAACATCATCAGCATTACCTGGAAAAAATATCCAAAGGATGCTAACTACCCAGTAATGACCTTGGTCATGTGAAACTGACTAGTTCTATTTCTTGTCTGGATCTCCATTAAAAGGCTGCATCCATAAACAGAACGACGTGTCGGTGACACCAGCCGACTTCCTTCAGAAAGCTAGGCTTGGTCACTTCGCCAAGGAGACCCCGTTTATAAATGAAGGAAAGAATGAAGTAAAGAAAAAAAATACTTCAAGGAAGGAAAAAAGAAAAAAATAAGGAAAGAAAGAAAAAGCAGAAAAAAGGAAGGAAGGAAGTGACTAATGTAGAGGGAAGAAAAGCAGGAAAAAATAATGAGAAAAGGGAGGAGGGTGAAAAAGCATGTTAAGAGGTGATGATGGGGAAAAAAGTAACAAAAAAGGAAAGAAATCAGGATAGAAAGAAGTTGGGGGGGTGGGGGGAGGAGGTGAAGGGAAGGCAGAAATGAGGAACGATGAAATATCACTGACCTGAAGAAGTGTCAAAATGTATGGAAGGAGATGAATCTTTAGCATCTAGACCACCTGAATCACCAAATGGAGAAGAACACAGGGTGGCTGCCACTCTCCCTGGTTGTCCGCTCTTTGAATGTCGCTTCCCCCGGGTTTTCTGAGACCCAGATATTTCTTTCGGAGTCTGAGATTCAGGCGTCCCTTGCTCTTGCATTTTATTGGGAAAAGATGTCTTCAGGGTGAACTTCACAGGGGTAGAGTTCAAGTCAGCGGTATAAACTAATCTATCCTGTCCCACTGATGACGGCACTGCAGCATTTTTAACGAGAAGGCAAATCTCGGAGTAGCCACTCTCAGTTAACTGCGGAAGAGTATTCATGATGACGTCTGAAATCACAGGATCTCCTGAGTGATTAAAGCTAATATATTCTGGTGGTGGAAGGATATAAGCGATGCTGGACTTTGGTTTAGAATTGCCAACTATATTCTGACTAGCACATACATCATCTTGTGTGGAAGAGGCTGTAACCACACTAAGGAATGAGGAATCAGAAACTTTCTGATCCCTTTCATCTGATCCCTCTGCACTTTCTGAGCCAGCAATTTGGGAGGTATTATCATTCACAGATGAAATTTTAGATTTCATTTTCAGCGCTGGTTCCGATTTCCTGGCCTTTCTAAAGGGCGGCAATTTTCTTTTAACAGTGTCCCGGTATCTGTTTAAAGAACATGACTTTTCGACAATAGAAGGATCAGAAAAATTTGCTTCGCCAGACTTAGGTTTTATTTTGACAACAGACTGAGGATTTTCTAGGTGATGTTTTCCTAATGAGTCTGTTTTAGCCACAGATCTCTTTGGTGAAACTAGTGTAGACAAAAATGTTTTTGGTGAAATGTGTGTTGATGCAGGGTTCTTTACAGAAACCGGTTCTAAAGTCTTTATCTGCTTGGGCATTGCTTTCCTTTTCATAACAGGCTGGTATTTCTCTATCAGCAGGGACATAGATTTGAACTTTGATGTCGGCGTCTCTGCTGAAACCGACCTAGTCCTACCTCTCTGCCCACTGTCAGATTTTAATTTCGCAAAACGGGATGTCTTTGCCACTGCAGGTTCTGATTTCTCTGCTCTCAGGGATCTATCCACGTGATCACCTCTAAATCTATTTTTAGAATAGGTTGAGGATTCTTTTGTCAATTCAGGTTTAAAATCTGGTGTCTGTTCAGCTACTGCTTTTCTTTTTATAGCTGATCTTGGAGTTCTTTTGTCAACATTTCTTGGTGAGCTTGTGTCAACATTTCTTGGTGAGCTTGTGTTGACAATTCTTGGCGTTCTTTTGCCAACAATTCTGGGTGTTCTTGTGCCGGCTCTTTGTTTTCTTGAATTTACCGAAGCTTCACCTTGTGAACTGGACTCCCCGTCTAGCAGCCTAACCTCAGAATGTCTGTCTGATCTGGCTTTAGCATTCCTGGACTCAACACTATCCACCACTGCCTCATGTGAAAGTCTTTCTAAACCAACAAAAGATATTTTACGCCCACGGGAATTTTGTTTCCATTTGGCACGATTAATTCTACCCTGTTTAAATTCAGGTAATAGAGGTGAAGACAGAAATGAAGACGATGATTCCAAATTGCCTGTTGGCATCTCACATTCCAGTGTAACATTTAAACTGTCTAAAGGATGGCTGGTATCAACAATGCACGCTTCCCCAACAGGTTTCAGTTCCTGGTCAGCTTCCTCTAGGTCTGTGTTAGAGAATTCTTCTGTGGCCTGGTCAAGATAGTTGCCTGGCGATGCATAACCAGGTGAACAGGGAGGAGTTTTTAATTTCTCTTTAAACTCTTCAGACTCCACAAGTTCCACGTCTGATACTGTTGCAGGAGGCTCATCCTCGGCAGTTGCTGATGCACCTTCAGGACAACCCAGATCTCTGACCTCCCCTTCAGACTGCTCCATCAAATCTATGTGTGTTATTTCTTGAGTTGCCACCTCCCTGAACTCAAGTCCATCGTAAGAACATGTAGGAGTCTCACAATTTAACGGCAGTGGTCCTGCCTGGTTGTCACTGGAGTGGTTAGACATGGCACACATCTGGTCATCATCCCCCTCGTGGATCTGGTCTTGTCTTTCAGATCCCTCTTGGGTCTGCGCACTGAAAGCGAAGTAGTCTTCCGATGATTGCCCCTCCCGCAGGTTGTTCTTGTGTCCCTGACCCAGATGTATGTCCAAACATTTCATTTTAAAGAACTCGCTTTCAAGAACATTATTAATGATTGCAGCATCTCCATTGTTTGCATCTTCTTCGTCAGCCCCTTTACTGCTACTGGATACCGGAAAGTAGCCATCAGCAAGAACCTTGTCAACCTCATTAGTGACCACACTGGTCTCCTCTGAGGTCGACTTCCTGACATACACTTCAACCCGTTCTTGTTGTTGCTCTGCTGATTTCCTGGGACCTCTAGACTTATCCTTCTTACCCATCTCTGTTGATTTCCTGGGACCTCTAGCCTTATCCTTCTGACCCGTCTTCACAGCGTCAGAGCACAGGGCTTGGCTTACGGATGCTGCTTCTCTACCATCACTAGACGGTAAGGGCAATTGCTCTGGAAGATCTTCTTGCATGGTGGCACTGCTGTTTTTGTTCTGCTCCTTGGTCGAGGATGTGCCGTTGCCTGTGTCATCTTTACTAATGCATCTCTTTCTTGAAAGGACTGGTAACAACATGGCTGGAGAAAACAATCAATCATTAATAAATGAATTCATAAAATGAGTGTCCACAAATACATATTTCTGGGCAAAATAAAAATTTCAAACAATTTTTTTTAAATCAACAATTTAGATGAGCGGCATGTCAAGAAGCTAGAACACCAGACTCTCATTTGTGAGAATAAGGTTTGAATATTCAATAATATTTTAGGATGTTTTTTTTCTGTCAGGAATGCGTGCATGCACACACACACACACACACACAAAACATCCTAACCTTAAGAGTTTACGGCAAATGCATCAGTTATGTGTCCATAAGTTCTCAGACTCGCGACCAACACCACCAAACAGAGTTCTTTTTCTTCTTCTTCTTCACGCTCACCGGCTGTAAAATCCATCGAAAAGTTCTGCTTGTTCGTCCCCCTCTGGACTTAGTCTTGTTCCAGAACCTGAGTGTTGTGTGCACATCCATTTTACCAGCCTGGTCTATTTGTGTGCAGAATATTGATACCTTGCCTCTCAGGCGATGTACTCTGACTTCACAGGATGCCCCTAATTAGTCGACTCCAACGACATATCTGAAAGGAAGGCAGTGGGTTCATTCTCATTTTCCCCACAATGGGGGCCACAAACCCGCACAGGAACCTAAAGAGCAGAAATATAACCAGTAAAAGCAACTTGAGCATTATCAAACGTTAACCAATGTATAATCAACATCTGGTAAATGAGATGCCTGAGGAAAGCCACCAACTTAACCATGCAACACACAGTGAGAAATGATACTATCAGACAGATTGTGGGACTGAAGTCCAAAGGTGGACAAACAACTAGAACTTTCCACAGGAGTTTACAGCCGGTGGACGTGAAGAAGAAGAAAGTGTTGCGTGTACAACCACTGTACAGATCTGGCTTATATGCCATACTGGTTCCTTGTCTCTCAGGAAGATTCACTCCTGCTTCAAAGGAAGTACTCAATTAGTCGACTCTTACGACACGCTTTTTGGCGAGGCAGTAGGACACCCTTGTTGGCGAGGCAGTGGGTCTATTCCATTTTCCCCGACAACCTCAGATGGAAAATTGTTGCTCCCAACGACCTTCAGGACCTTCTGCATGTTCTTTCTGTGCTGTAAAAGGTGATTTCATTTATTCAAGGTCCCTGTGTGGGTTCCTGGCTCCCATTGTAAGGAAAAACAAGAATAGACTTGCTGCCTCCCTAACAAGCATGTCGTAAGAGTCAACTAATAGGGGTCGCCTTTAAAGTCAGAGTGCATCTGCCTGAGAGGCAAGGAACCAACAGTATGCATACAAATAAGTCAGGTCTGTAAAATGCATGTGCACACAACACTTAGGTTCTGGAACAAGTCTACAGTTCAGAGGTGGATGAACAACCAGAACTTTCTGTCAGAGTTTACAGTCGGTGAAAGCGAAAAGGAAGAGGATTTATTCAAGGCTGTTCTTGATACTACAGCTCCATTTTTTGTTGGGTCTTTCTCTTGCTCTGTGATGATTACATCTCGTCAGCATAGCTCCCTCTGGCAGCTTGAACTGGGTGTTCATTCTCTTCAGACAGACAAAGTATTTCATTTGTTGCTCTTTAATAAACTATAACTGTCTACATAGAGATAAAACCAAAAAAAAGTAAAGTTCCCTTTTCACGCCTTCGGCGCATCGGGCATATGGGCAGAGCGTCCCATATTTTTACAGACCATCAGCACTCTGTGTGTAATGTGGTCAGCATTACGCCGGCTGTCTTTACTTTCCCAGGACAGCCCATCCTGGTACCCATTTTAGGCTGGGTCGACCTGCGACGTCCCAGTCTACATAGAGATGCTCAATCAGAATTCACCTCAAAATGAATAGATAAATATCCATCAGATCTTACATACCTCCAACTCATTTCAAGTTGAAATCATCTACCTGAAAGGCAAGGAAACAGACTCCACAAAAATAAGCAGTTCTTTAAAACGGATGCTCACACAAAGCTCAAGTCAAGAAAGAAAATCAGAGTCCAGAATTGAACCCATACCCAGCACTTTCCACCACAGTTAAAGGAAGGTGAACACTAAGAAAGCTGGCGCAGTTTTAATAAAGCTTGTTTACTCTGGAACAAATACAGCTTTCTACAACTGACAACACTGGAACACTGTTCGACATCCTGTATACATTCTGCCAGTTTATTTCTCCTATTCTATACCAATTACTCAACCACAATCATCGCTGTTCACTTCCACAACTACGCCACAATAATCATTTACTCAACGTTTACACTTAATTTAAACTACGCTGACGAAATCATGACTGTCTTCTTCCAACTCTGATACACAACTGACCACGAGTCCACCTCTGATTTTCCCTTGTTTAACTTTCCAGCCCCAAGTCTCTTGTGTGGTCGTTTTTCGCACGGATTTTCTGCTTGACTCGTTGTAATGGAGACCATGCAAAGTTGAGTCATCACAAACACAACAACAAAAAACTAGGGCACTTACCTGCTGTGCCTGTTCCAAGACTTGCACAGCATAATATTTCCTCAACATTTTGGCCATTGACCACTTTCATATGCACACTTCTGTATTTGGCCGGCATTTTACCACAAATCTGTATTTTAAAAAAATAGTATGCACTCAATTACAATGACTTAAACCCTGTAACTCCAGGAAGTCTAAAAAAGGTTACTTCTGGTTGTGACAGTCCTCGTAAATGCCAACTGCAGTGCGGTGTTCTCGTGGTTTAAAAACAAAAAATAAAGGATCCTTTTCCACGCCTCCAGGGCATATTGAGCACATAAGGCTAGCCCTATATTTTACAGATCAATCGGCACCTGCTGTGTGATGTGGTCAGCACCACATCAGCCGCCTTTACTTCCCAGGACTGCACCTGGTACCCTCTTAATGTGTTCTCAAGAAGCTTAGTTAAAAACCACTGGCTCTTTTTAGACCTCTGCAGCATTTACGACACAAGCACGCACACACACACTTAAAAATAGTAGTGGTAGTTAACCTCCATTATCTGGATCGACACATCTTTGACACACGGGAGAACAAATATGAAAGAGCTGGCAAGTGAGGCATCATTGCAAACGAGAAGACGCCTGGGCAAGAGTTGATATCATCAACGCTGTAAAGACTAGGCTGTGGAATCATGTTGAATCTCTGAATTTCAGTGAGAACAGTTGCAAAATTCATCGACCTCACTGTCTCTCGTCTCTGTCGTGTCCATCTTGATCCAATGGCAGGACAATGTCGAGACAATTGGAAATGGACATAGGTGCAGTGGATGGCCAAGGCGTCTTAAGTGCCCTGCCTTGCTTGAAGCTCTCCCTCGTGCCTGCAGGTAAGAAGAAGAAGAAGAAAAAGAAATAACCAAAAAGAGGTCTCATCCGCACAATCCACACCTGAGAGAGTAAAGCTTGGTGAAGCATGTCAATGCCCTAGGAGTCCTTATAACCAACTTCTCGTTGGAACAATCAGTAGAGGTACCTTGGATGCTGCATCCGAGGACTGAGCATTCAGTGCCAGTGATGTCGACTGTGATATCATAACAACGTAATTCATGCCGCACACGCACACAATTCCTTAATGCACGAAGAACCAGGATTTTCCACCGGAGCTTACAGCTGGTGAACAAAGAAGAAGAAGCTGAAGTGCATTTGCCTAAGAGGCAAGCAACCAACAATCATCATATAAATAAACCAGATTTGAAAAACTGAGGTACAGGCAACACTCAGGTTCTGGAACAAAACTAAAGACCAGAGGTGGACAAACAACCACAACTTTATTCCAAGCTGGTGAATGTGAAGTAGATTACTTTCTTTAAAAAGCTTTATAATTTTCAAACACACTTACACAAATGTAGATTAATACTTTTTTGTTGTTTTAATTTAATAGTGACCGGTGTAACATTTTTTTTTTTTCACTGAATTTGTTTTTTAGGGGGAGGAAGAATTTCCAGGGGTTCTAGGTCCATTTCTTTTAGCAATCCTGGAAGGGGGGGGGGGGTCATCGACCTCAATGCACAGGATTTTATCCTAGATGGTGCGGTTCCTCTCACCAAAGTGACCGACTGACCAATCGCCAAAATTAATTGCTCTGTTCAGTGTCTGCAGAGTTATCAAAGAAGAGCTGATACTGAGACCAGTGGCTGGTAGAGTGTTACGGGGACTGTCACATGACAAAAGCATTTAAAACACTGTAACTGAGTGTATATGGTGAGGTTTCAGCTATGTATGACAAATTTACTTAAAAAAAAATACTAAATATCTATTTTCATCAGCACTTAACTAGATCACATCTCAATAAGAAATGACGTACCATTTAGTTTTTCTGCCAGTTAAAATAACAGTGCTTGAAAAATCAAAGAAATATAACTATTTTTTGGCCAACACTATGCTATCAGTGCCAAATGTGGACATTTACATCCTCTAATGAACGTAAAAGTGTGACAACAGAGATGAAATGCCTTAGGAGAGCTGCAGGAGTTTCAAGAAAAGACAATATGAAATCACAAAATTAGAGGAATGCCAGTCTTGGACACCTAACAAGAATGCCCTGGTACTATCTACCACAGCGAGCCACACTGAAACGTTACGAGTATAGAGCGAGCGCAAGACCTCGGAAAATATGGAGTGATGGCATTGAGAACAGCCTTACAGAAATGAACTACAATCTTAATATTAATAGTGCTCTTGACAGAACTCATCAACGAAAGTTATCCCATATCCCCTCCCCCCCCCCCCCCCCCCCCGGCCCCCTTTTTTTCACTTCACTGAGGTACAAGACGGACGGGAAGAAGAAGAAGAAAAAGAAGCAGAAGAAGAGATTAAATAATTTAGGAACAGACATGGAATTGAACATCAATCTTAATAGTGCTTTTGACAGAGTTCATCAAAATATCAATGAACGTTGCTCCGTTGCATATCTCCCCCTGACACTTCACTTAGGTACAAGATGGACGGAAAGAAGAAGAAGAGATGACATAATCAAAGATTTTGCCAAACACAATGAAAATCTACAATCAATTGTTCTATTCTTATCACAAAGAAGCATCGATTATTAACACGATTCATAATTTACGTTACCGCATACTAAGTTAGAGTTAAATATAGAAGTGACTTCAAACACATAACGCTTTCATTTTCATGCATGAGTTTCAGTCAGTTTTTAACACATTTTCTACCTGTTTACTCGTTCCAATTAAAAAAACATATTTAATTATTGTAAATTCTTGTCAAACACAAAGAACAGAACACAAACACTATAATTAATAACTCGTATTCCCTGACGCATCCAATTTATTTCTTCATTGTGATGTGAACTATAAATCAAATGTCAGCACTGTTCGTTTGTTAGTGTACACTTTTTACACATATTATTATTATTATTATTATTATCATCAACTTTACTATCCCTGTCTAATTCATTACCATAACGCCAACCGCGTGACAATCATAACCTACGATAACGATGTCTGTTTACTAATTCTACAAAATAAAAAACAAAACTTCTGTAATCAAATATTTGAAACAAAAAGAAGGTAACACACAGCTTACCTACCGGCCGCTCCTACAACATCGGCTTCAGTTTTGCGGTTTGCTGTTTGCAAACTTGTAAAAAACTTGGACCCGGCGCCAGAGTTGCGGCGAAATTATTCGCTAGGGCACCTCTTATTCACATCGGTGGCCGGGTCACCTATCGGCTCGTCGGTAGACGACTTCTTCGCCGGTCGGGATAATATTTGGGTCCGTCTCCTTTGATCGCTTCGAAACTGCAAGAGTCCTCCTGCTCAGGGCTACTTGGTGGCGTGCCGTGCTAAGCCATTTTATTTGGCAGAATTAGCCTAGTCACAGTTAAAGCCTAAGCTAAGGCTTCCCACCCCCTCCCCCTTTCGGGGGTGCTGGTTGAAAGTGACGATTTTTTACCCAGCAAAGCAAGCACCTTCTTCTTCTTCTTCTTCTTCTTCTTCTTCTTCTTCTTCTTCTTCTTCTTCTTCTTCTTCTTCTTCTTCTTCTTCTTCTTCTTCTACTTCTTCTTCTTTCCTCTACTTCTTGCATGCCTCACAGAGTCAGGGCAAGGATAGATCTCTAGAACGAGCCCTTAGGTTCGTTTCGTGTATAGTACTTTTCAGTGTCTCTGAGCATATGATACCACAACATCCAGCGCAAGAATGGAAATGGAGGCAGTCACTGCAGCTTTTCGCTGGCTAGAGAACACGACACACACACGTCGTGATTGTAACTGACTCAGAAAGCATACCGAGGAAGATCATGACAGGCATGCTTCGTTTAGAGTGGGATGCTTTGCTGCTGAGGCCATGGGCGAGGAGTATTGTCTGGATTTTTTCCACCGGGACACGCCGGTGTGTTGAGAAATGAGCAGGCGGACAGACTGGCTGGCTCTGCACAACTTGATGAAATACTGATACATGATAAGGCATAGAAAGGGGACCTTTATTTATTTACTCATTCCCCCTCTCTAAATTTCAAGTTAATAACAAATTTTCTCATACACACGTGTTACATTGTGTTTTCACAATCGGCTTAACTGCAAATTAGGCATTCTCATGCATATTCGGCCACCCGATGCAACAGCCTCCCCAAGGTACTTCTACTGGTTGTTCCCGAGTTCCCATAGGGATTTAGGGGTTGGTTTTACACACTTCTTTATCCTTTATCAGTGAAAGTTCGACTAAAGGCCAACTAGACTTCCAGTGGATCACGTTTCAGGGCATCTCATGAGTCTGTGTAAAATCAAGGCCGTCTTCAATGTTAAGGACCACTTTGGTCAAACCCCACTCGTCTCGTCCTGCACAATGTTAAATGTCAAAGTGAGGGTTTTCTCCTGGCTAGTGACATCTCTGCGCTCGCGTGACAATCTGAAGGTCGTGGGTTCGCTCCCTGGCTGAGCCAGACTTTAAAAAAAAAAGACCTTGACTCCCAGGTCAACCCAGCCTTGAATGGGTACCAAGTGCAGTCCCGGGAAGTAAAAGCAGCCGGCGTGATGCTGACCACATTACCCATCTTGTGCCTATTGGTCTATAAAAAAATATAATATGCCCCATACGCCTAAATGCGTGGAAAAGGGGCCTTTATTTTACTTTACAGTGACATCTTTGGAGGAAATAATATGCCTTGTGGTTGTTAGGTTGCTGCTACTATTAGGTTTAAAAACTTAACAAGAATGCCCTGGGACTATCTGCCTCAACGAGCCACACTAAAACCTTACAACGGATATAGAGCGGGCGAGTTGAAGACCTAGGAAAATATGGAATGATGGCATTAAGAACAGCCTTACAGAAATTAACATCAGTCTTAATAGTGCTCTTAGCAGAGCTTATCAACGAACATTACATCCCCCCCCCCCCGACACTTCGATGAGGTACAAGGTGGAAGAGAAGAAGAAGAAGATTTAGAATGGAATTCCATTGCACTAGCAAAAGATACCACCCATCTGTGTTCACTCAAATAAACCATAAACGGTGTGAGAAAAAGAAAACGTCCGAGGGAAACATTAGCAAGAACATTATTACGGGAAGCTACAAATGCTGGGTTGCACCCCATGTCAGAAATCGAGAGAGTTGCATGCAGTAGA